CTCCATTTAATGAGATCATGAATAACAAGTATTTCATTTTATCGTATATTCCATACGTGAATTATTAGAGAAGCAATTGCTGCCGTCTTTCTAAATATTAAAACATCATTTATTCATTTTACGTACATAAGGAACATGCACTACAATTGTGGGAATTCTTACCGATTCTACATTTTAAAAACGAGAATTATGTCAAAAAAAAACTCCAACTTTACATAAATTGTCAAAACAAACACGAACCTATTGGCTGGCCAAAAAAACACAGAACAATATATGACTTTTAAACTTTAATCAGTAAGTTGTCGCTGACTCGCCAATTAAACATGCCGTTAGTAAACTTGACTGAATGATTGAACACCGTTTGTTAAGATCTGTTAAGTAAAATGACGTCGTTTTGAAATGGGATAAAACGACGTCGTTTTGTCTATTTTTATTATAAAAACATGTCGATTGTGTGAGTCAACCTGAGAACTCTTGGCAAAATTTCTAGGTTTCTTGCCACTGTGCTACTGACACTTTTAAAGAAAGCTCTAACATGTATTGTTTTATTGAGTATCAAAAAAAAATCTCAAAAAATCTAAATTCTTTTTAAAAACTTCCAAAAAATCTTAAAAATTCAAGAAAATTTTGAAAAGGTAAAATTAAAATTGAAATTGCAAATAATTTTTTTGTTTAAAAAATCAAAACATTAAAAATTTGAAAAAATCTAAAATAATTTAAAGATATGCAACGAATTAAATTTAATGATTAAAAAACTTGAAACCTATTTTTATATAAATTAATGTATGCAAGTTAAAATAAAAATGATATTTATCACACTATAGATTTTAGTATGAGTAATGTATTGAAGATAAAATAGAAATGATAATTAAGATAAAATAAACAAATGATATTATCACAAAGTGTTTTGCTAAAATATGATATTGAATGAACATACAACAAAAAGTAAAGATTTCTATACATTACAAGATAATAATTAAATAAAAAAAATTGTAGTTTTTGGTGTATGTTCGTTTGTTATCATATCTTAAAAACATTTTTTTATTGTTTTTAGAAATCAAAAATTGTACTAAAACATATAGTGTGATAAATATCATTTTTGTGTTTTATCTCAAATATATTAGTTTATAAAAAAAACAAAAACGTCCATCAAATAAAAAATAAAAATCTAAAAAATTCAAATGCAAAAAATTAAAGTTAATGATTAAAATAATTTTCTCTTATATAAATGAATGCATGCAAGATAATATACAAAATTATATTTATCACACTATATTTTCGTTGATTAATGTATGTAAGATAAAATACAAAAATGATCTTAGATACATTAATTTTTATAAAAAAAAATAATTATTTTAATCATTAGTTTTTTGTCATTTTTAATCATTAGTTTTTGTATTTTTGGATTTTTTAGATTTTTATGAATTATTTAATTAATTTTAGCGAAAAAAAATTGTAACTTAATTTTTTATTTTAATATTTTCAGAATTTTTAATTATTTTTTGAATTTTGTAAAATTTTAAGGTTTTTAAAGATTTTGGATACTCAATAAAAGGAAATATGTTAGAGATTCTTCAAAAGTGTCGTTAGCTCGGTGGCAAAAGACTATGTTGTTTGGCTTTGAGATCTCTAGTTCGAGTCCTGAGATAGACATATTTTAACGTCAAAATAACAGTGTCTACATATTTTAATTTTATTCTCAAATAAAATTAAAAAGTCAAAGTAAATCCAGTATTTTTTTGGTCAGCTTCGAGTTCAGGTTTTATTTGACTTCTGTTAGACGTGAATGAACCAAAAGTACCCATATTCTAATAGCCAAGACAAAGTTGTCTTTCATTTACTTTGAATGGCACATTTACTTTGAATGACACATACAACCCTGTTTTGCAGTGTTTTTTTTTTTTGCCAAATATGTTTCAGAGCTGAAGCCATACAAATCCTTAGGATAATTAGATTTTGGAAACAATACTTTGGGGCTGGTGATCTCACCATTGAGATAGTTCTTATTGATTCTAACATCAAACTAGATAAGAACAAGGTGTCTTGCTGACCAAATCCCCTTTTCAATTTACTTTTTTTTTAACACAATCGTGGTGTTTATAAGAAGCCACATTTCTGTAAAAACACATTTCTTTTAAAAACATGCATATCTAATATAATTTTAACAAATATATAATATATAAGCATTTCAAGAACGCGAATTATGACCTAGTTACATATTAAAACTGAATAGTGATTATATTATATATTTTCTTTTCTTAAATGCGTTTGCAGATTTTTTTTTTTCCTTCGTATTCATATTAACTAGTTGTCTTCACCCCGCGCAAGCGCGGGGTTAGTATGTATTCTATGTCATCAATAATAGTTCGAGCTATACTCTGTACCTTATGGTTTTATTGTCCCAGTATATATTTGCTTATTTGGCTTCATAGCACAATCTTCAGTGTTGTTTCCATTCATCTCTCAAATCATCACACCTATTTTTTTCGTGTCAACGTATTTGGTTTTCTGCTCTCTTACCTTTCTAGTGTTTGAATATTTATTAATGTCTTGGACTTTCACAATGGATTCCCCTCTC